CCCTCTTGGAACAGAGATCATGATGACACGGCATCCACCCGTTCAGGAGGAACCCCAGGCCCTTCCAGTGGGGGCCACACGTCACACAGTGGGGATAACAGCAGTGAGCAAGGTAGGAGAGGTGTTCTCATTCTGTTTTGCTACTTGTTTCATTTCAAGGGTTGAAAAATCAGAAACATCTAGTTGGTCAGTATCTGCACAGTTTCTCCTAGGGTACAAGTTCTACATCGTTTGAGAATCAGCTCATCTTGTTCAATTCCCTGACTCTTTTCCTTTCTGCCATTGCAACTGCCTAACTGCTTTGTCACCTGGCCACCTCTGTGAAACAGGGTCAGTGAAGTTGACTGAGGGCAAGATTAGAGAAGGAGAGAATCAAAGTTCAGATGTGGATAAGCAGAATGGCACTAATGCCCTGTTATACAAATAGCAAGTATTATTATCACTTACCCTTGGAGGCTTTCCAAAGGATCATGAAGAAGCACCTACCATGATTCTTCGTGAACAGTGATGTCTTAAGATGATTAGAAGGCGTTGGGCAACCTATGCTGGGCTTCCCTCTTCATGGGGTTGAAGCCATTTTTCTGGTTTTACTTATTTCACTCTCTTCAGGGCTTGAATTCATCGCAAGGCTAGATTAAGTGGAATTGGAGAGCGATATCAATTTATCTTGTGTTGTGCTTTGAATGCACAGACCTGTGTGTGTATGTGGGTGTCCATAGGTATACATGCCTGACCGTAACTAACAGGAAATAACATTTAAATATCAAGTTAGTCTTTAGCAAAAAGGTGAATGAGTAGTCACATGTCTTGTGCTGCTTTTGATGAGACCCTACCGCAGTGGATTTTGTGAATGTAATTAATGTTTAGAGTGCATTCTTTATCTGAATATAAAAAGACTGCCTTATTGAAGTTGATTCTGAGCCTGCATTAGATACATATTTTAAAATCTGGTTTTGTGATCATGTTTGACTGAAGTGCTGTTAGACAACAAAGAAATTAGTTGTCTAACTCAGTTGGACTACACCTATTAGAATTTGAAAAGTCTACACTGAATATAGCACGATTAATTTGAAAACAAGAACAGGAAAATTCAGGTTTTTTAAAAAGGTACACTATGCTGTTTGCCCTGGGAATAACTTCCATAAATAAACTTTTAAGCATTTGAAATATTTTATTGTTCGAAGAAAAGTTGCTGACTTCATCAGAAGTGTAAGCCTAGTAAAAACGGCGCCTGGAATAGTAAACTAGTCCAGAGCTGAGGCTGACGCAGGTGACCTCTAACCTCTGACTTTTACTGGAAGATGATATGCAGCATAAATCCAAGGGGCCTTTTTTCTTTCAAGAGCATATGTATATGTTACGGCATGGCTGTTCACAGTGCTCTAGTTAAGGTGGTATCAGCACTTTCAGTAGAAAGCCCGACTTTCAGAATTCTACTTACACTGTGAGTTTTCAAAGAGGTTTAAATGGAATCTAAATTCTTTTTCCCATATCCCAGAATTGCTACATGGGGTCATAGCCTAGCATTTCGTTAGTTTCTTTTTCGTTTCTTGCTTTTTAAAACATATTTCGTCTAAGAAATGGCAGGTACCTGGGCTGCGGCATAAAGGCTTGAAATGCACACTTGAATTAAAGACTGTAGTTCGTGAATTTTCTCAGGCACACTCTGATAAGAAGAGTTTCAGAGGGTACATGCCCAGTGTCAGTCCTTCCCCTCTGATGGGCCACGACTTATTAAGAATTAAGAGTTTGGTATTTCTTTTAACTTCAACGTGATCTTCAATGAATTTGACAGTGACCAGGATGCATATACTTTTCACATTACTGATTTGGCATTCAGAATGCTTCTTTTTGTATTTCTTCTTATTATGTTTTTACTTTTAAGACCAAAAGTATTTTTCACATGGATTATCTCCCTTGAATGACCTCAACTGAACCATTTAGAAACAATCCTGGTGGCAGATGAAGCAGCTTTAGCCCCATTTTACAGATGTAGAAAATAAGATACGGTTAGGCTTTGTGATATGCTGAGATCCCATTGCAGTGCCAGCCTAAAGTTCCAGTATCCCAGTGATATATGCGAGACTCCTCTCACCATATCCTCTTCCTCATGTCTTCACTAAAGAACTAGTCAGTTCCTGCCGGTGAGAGCAATAGCCTCTGTCTGTGCTGACTTCCCTTCCCTGCCCTCTACCTGCTGGACAGGGCCATGCCTCCAGCCTCTCTTGCCCTTCCTTGGTGGGTTTTCTTTGGCAATGAGATTTATTTCTGCTAACTGCAGAATGAGGCCTGCAACAATTTATGCACATTCCCATGCCAAACACGACCCTTCTAAACCTCATTTTTCATCCCTGAGACCTGTGGAGCTGAGTCTTTGTGCAGCCTTCGGATTAACGGTGCACAGTGGCTTTTCCATGTTTTCCCTGTCTGCCTTTTCTGGCAGGCCTGGACACGTAAGCTGTGCCAGCATTTGGCCTGGAGTACACGTCCTAAATAGTTATTTACACAGTTTGAGTCCATTTTAGTCAACTGGGTAAATAACAGCCCTCTTCAAAAGATTTATAAATCCATAAATATGTCTTTATACATACCCAATAGACAGAAATAACTCAATCTGTCAAGAACATATCCAAAGAGGTGTTTCCCCCATAGACAGGAGTAATACATATTTTAAAACTTTCTCTACTGTGTTATTTGTACTGCATTTCTCTTTACTCATTTCTTTTCAATTTTCACCACTTCATCATGGCACCTGTGGTACAAAAAAGTAAAGAAAGGGAAAGAAAGAGAAATCCTGTAGGCTTTGGCCCTCTGCTAAATAGCCTACCAGCTGCACAGTGTAGACATATATCAGGCTACATATATCTCAGCTGAGTCCTATTCTTTTGAACTTTCAAAGTAAATAAAATAAGTCATCCAGGAAAATTTTAATGTTCTGATGAATTTCAAAAGACAGTAATAGTTCTTGGTTACAGTTTTAGCGAATTTGAGAATTCAGAGTAGCTGATAGTTTTCCAAATTAGTGGCTGTTGTGATTGATGAAATAGTTTTAGAACAAATTTTTGCATAAGCACAAAAAATGAAATAAAAATCCAATTCTGAGCATACTAAAAGAGAATGTCCATAAGGTATATAATTAAGAAAACACCAAAGATATTATTATTCAGGGACTTAATGTTTATTCATGATTTACATAATATATCCTTCCAACAGCTAAAATTATTCATCTGGCAACTCTTCTTATATTATCTACTTTCATTTAATATTAACACTTGTGGCACCTTGCAGAAAATTTATTCTTTATTGATTCTTTAACAGTGAAGCCCCTTTAAATTGGCATTGAAGAGGAAGGTGTCACATTTGAATTTGGTTGGGGATTCTGCCTCTGTTGCTACAACATTGATTTTTGTCTACTGCTTTAACTTCTTCAAAGCATTTCCAAAGATATTAGATTAAATCCTTATTTTCTTCCTGTCAATTATTTGCTGCTTTCCCATTATGCAGGAGAAAAGCAAGTAGTTCAGAAATACTGGAGAAGAGCTGTCAGAGTGAACCCTGGGATGTTGGCCCCTGGCTTTGGGAGAGAGGGTCTTGAACTCACGAGCAATGTATGGTAATATGAGGTACACTTTGGCAGAGAAGTGTGCTGTTCTTTTTTATCCTATGGTGTATGTTTAGAGCAGGAGAACCTTAAGCAAGCCTGGTGCCTCTTTCCTCCATATTTCAACTCCTGCTCAGTGCCTCGCAAGCAGCTTTGCTGGGATTGGTCACAGTTTGAGTTTGAGCACATTTCTACTTTTGATCCAAAGTCTAGAGAGTGAGTAAGTGATAATAATAAAATATTAAAATAGGACATGAAGTACTGTCAGTCAGTGTGGCTATTTCCATCCCCTCACTCTGTGAAGTGAGGTTATGGAGGAGCAGAGAGGCTGCAAGACTTGCCCAAGGCTACCTTCTGGTTGGTTGTCCAGTTGAGACTTGAAACTCTGTAGTCTGACTCCACAGCCCAAGCTCTGAGGGACCACATCCCTTGTGACATCAATCTTTCATGTGGTTTAGGAATAGAAAACCAGATCACCTGTCAGACATTTTTTTCTGTTACAATTTGATTACTCGTTTCCCAGTTAGATGTCTGTACTAGGCCTGGTGCTGTGCTCTGTCCTGGGTGCAGGGCCTTGAATAAGAGAATCTGCCAAGACTCACAGGGGGTTAGGCTCTGCTGGGGGAAAGAGAACCTAGTTTTGTGTGCTAAGTAGAATGATGATTGAGCTATTTACAAAAGGAGTGTGATGATTGATATGATTAATTGTATTATGTACTAAGAGCCTATACCACTTCACCCAAACAGTGACTGAATTAAGAATAAGAGCATAGAAAACAAGTAAGGATATTTCTCTTGCTGAATATTTCCCTCTTAAAGCTCATCTTAGTTTCCTCTCTTGTAAGGATAAAGGAAGAGTATAATTTCGACCTTGGAATTGGATGTGAAACATTTCAACGCTGAAGGTGGTTACTGGAACCTTTAAAACCAACTGAACTTCTCCTTTTAGAGGCAGGACTCATATCAAAAATAGCACCACTAGGGGGAAAAAAAAAAAAAAAAAAAAAGCAAACCCAGCATGTTTCTTTAACGAAGAATAACTGAAAAGCACTGCTATTTCGTTATAATAATGTATCAATAGTTGCAAAGCCTCCCACTGCCCCACCCCCTCCACGCCAGCTTTTGTATGAGTCCAGACAACCTATAGGCAGAAGGCAGTCCCATGTATTATGGAGGGGACTCTCAGGGCAGTTGTTCCAGACCTGTGAAGCCAGCAGGCAGAGCGGCCTGAGAGGGGGTGGGGAGCGACCAGGGAGGGAGGTGGGGAAGGGCCACATTGTGTTCCAGATGACTGAGCAGCGATTTATATACCAGCTCGCCTTTTTACATGAAGAAGAAAAGTAATAACAGCCCGAACCCAGGCATTTGAAACAGTCAGCTGTCTGATGAATAATGGGATAGGTGGGAAGGAACACGCTGATTGGATGTCTTAATGAGCACATTTCGCACAGAGTTTGGGCTCCGGTTCCCCTTGACCTTTGCCCTTTATTGACCAAACTGACACTTCATTT